CCACGCTCAAATGACAAGTTGAAGTTCATAGAAACGTATCCATTTCTAACCACGTACACGAAGTTTAATCGAGGTTTAGAAACATAAATATCATGATTTGCAAAAGCCTTCTACAGTTAATACCCTATAGGATCCTATTGTTGATTTTCTTTCTGATTGTGTAAAAGCTCTCGTATCAGTCATAACCCGTGAGAGTAAGTCCGTATCAGACTCGATTACAGTTTTGGCGTACTTCCTTGACTCATAGGACAAAGTGACCAGCAACTCAGCTGCATGGCTGCTAGCGTGCCTCTCGAACTCGTCCATGCAGCATGACGCTTGCCGCCGCTGATAGCGTACCGTCCATTCTGCATTTGACCATCTAACACCAAAAGTATCCTCGCTGGCACCATGAAACTCTCCGTGTTCGTCGCTGCTCTGTTGGGCCTAGCCGCCTCCCCCGCTGCGGACGCTTCGCTGCACCTGCGTGTCCACATCCTGACCGAGAAGGCGGGACTGTACCAGCAGTGTGAATGGGAGAACAAGGCCGTCAAGTGCGACACTGGCATGTTCTGCCAGATGAAGGAGAAGCACTTTGGCTGGTGCATGAAGAAGAACCCGGGACTCAACGACCAGTGCGGTGGCAAGGGCACCGCTGGCCCCTGGTCTGTGCCCTGCAGTGGCAGCAACCTCAAGTGCGTTCTCATCTCGGACCAATACAGCAAGTGCCAGAAGAAGACCGACCGTGAAAAAATCAAGATGCCTAACCACCGCAAAGAGGAGGAGGGGGAGGAGAAGGTGGCGCTCAATGAACGCTGCAAGTTCGAGGATGGCACGAAGAGCTGCGCGTCTGGTCTGCAGTGCGTTGAGGATAGCGAGTGGTCTGGCAACTGCATGAAGAAGGAAGCTGATCTGTACGACCAATGCGCTGGCCAGGAGATCCGCGGCCTTTGGAAGGCTTCATGCCCCAAGGGCGCACTTTGCCGCGAGTCCGACACCTTCTACAGCCAGTGCCTGCCCGAAGCCGTGTCCAAAGCTATGGACGCGTAGGCGGACTACAGTTTCGATCTTGGCGAGCTGGAAAGAACTTTCCAAAGCTCGTAGTGGATAGTGAACTCCCCAACCTCTTTTTATGAAAGATAACAAACCTGTTGACTAATATGTCGTTAAATGCTTTGGACTCGCCGAGTGTTT